CACACACAGCCAACCAGGGCAGTCGTGGCCTTGTAACCCGAAGGTCGTGGGTTCGAGTCTTGGGTCCGGCAGGGATTGTAGGTGGGGGGAGTGAATGACCAGCGCTCTCTGCCACCCTCAATACCACGACTGAGGTGAGACCCTTGAGCAAGGCATCGATCCCCCAACTGCACCCCTGGTGCAGAGGTGGTTAAGGGTCTTGCTCAAGTGCCCAACAGGAGGAGTATGACAGTGCTGGGGCTTGAATCCCCGACCTTCCGATCAGTAACCCAGAGCTTTAACCTTTCAGGAACCACTGAGGGTGAGGGATAAACCTCTCAGGGGTTTAGTGGTTAGCACTATTGCCTCACACCCCCAAGGCTGGGTTCGATTCCCACTACTGCCCTGTGTGTGCGGAGTTTGCATGTTCTCCCCATGCTTCGGGGGTTTCCTCCCCAAGTCCAAAGACATGCATTGTAGGTTGATTAACAGTTCTAAATTGTGAGTGTGTGTGCGATTGTGCCCTGTGATGGGTTGGCACAATGTCCAGGGTGTCCCCTGCTCTGTGCCCCAAATTCCCTGGGATAGGCTCCAGGCTCCCGGTGACTGTGTAGGATAAGTGGTACAGAGGATGGGTGGATATATAATATAAGGTCAGACTTGGGGGTGGAATTTTGTGGGGGTTTTTTTGACATATAATTTCACAGTGTCTGAGGTACCTGGATACATGGCTACAGGTACACCTTTGGCCACCTGTCCCTGGGTAATGAACACCCCAATGCCTGCACCCGGAAGCGAGCTGGCCATTTTCTCCACACAGAAGCCCAGTGTGTGCAGCATAATCTCGCGAGGCGCCACTTCCGGGCTGCGCACCGCGGCATTGTGGGTAAAGTAGTAATGGCGGCGAGAGGACGCTGGTAGCAGGCGAAGCTGTTCGGTTTGATTGCTCGCGTCGTTTCTAAGCAACTCGGTAAAAAGGCTCGCGAGCGACGCGAGGACTTGGTCATCATCCAGCCGCTTGTCTTCGGCTCGGTGTTTCACCTGGCGGAGGGTCCTACACAACAGAATAAACAGCGAGCAAGCATACACGCTAGAAACTACAGAGGTTACGTCTCAAACTACATTCTACCGTAAATGGCGTAATAGCCGCTACTAACGCCACAGAAGTAAAGAGAAACGCGTCCAAACAGCAAATCAAGCGCGCTGTTGAACTCATTTGGCTGTGTAGGGTGTGTAGTAAAATTAAAGGACGTTCATAATGAAACGAAACAATACCTCTCATTTTTCCTAAGATTCAAAGCAATCCAGGGAACGAATCTGTGTCTGTAACGTTTCCAGCTCTCCTCCAGAACTTTTAGTAAATTCTTCCTCATGCTACTTCTCTGTGACTGGAGCCGCTATCGCCACCTAGCGGCCGAGAGAGAAACAGCGCTGCACTGTTTACCCAACCACACCAAGCGTATGCGCCTGCGGCCTGCAGGAGTACAGACCACGCCCCTTACCAGGTACGCCCACTATTACAAGTTATGCCCACAACAAATAAACATCTGTCAGGATTATAAACCACGCCCCTTACCAGGTACGCCCACTATTACAAATTATGCCCACAACAAATAAACATCTGTCAGGATTATAAACCACGCCCACTGTTACAAGTTATGCCCACATCAAATAAACATCTGTCAGGATTATAAACCACGCCCACTGTTACAAGTTATGCCCACATCAAATAAACATCTGTCAGGATTATAAACCACGCCCCTTAACAGACACACCCACTATTACAAGTTATGCCCACATCAAAAAAACATCTGTCAGAATTATAAACCATGCCCCTTAACAGACACACCCACTATTACAAGTTATGTCCACAACAAATAATTAAACATCTATCAGGATTATAGACCACGCCCCGTACCAGAAACGCCCACTATTACAAGTTACGCCCACAACAAATAAGTAAAACAAAGGGTTAGGGGTATGTTTGTGTGTAGTGGGCGTGGAAATGTTGTGTAGTGGGATTTGCTAGTAGGCGTTCCTTGTGATGGGCGTGGTTTGTAGTCTTGCAGGACGCAGACAGACCCTTCTCGACCACACATGTCTGCTGACAAACCTGATTATACCCAAACCACTGTATCTGTTAGCACCCACAATTCCTTGTGGACTGAGCATGTGCGTATATCTCCTTTCAGTGGATTTTCTGAATAAGGTGTTTACATGCACCAAATTTCCGATTAAAACAGGCATAATACAGGGGCAGGAATCAGAATAATGTCTTAATCTGAATCGATTACGGATTACGGCGTTTACATGAAACAATACTAATCAGAATATTGCCAAATTCCGATTAATATTGGAATATTGATGTGCATGAAAACGCAGCCACTGATTAAGCTTACAGTCACACTAGGTTACACTACAGGTTCCTAGCTCTGGTCCTGGAGTTCCCCCTGTCCTGTACATATTAGTGTTTTCTCTGCTCTGTCACACCTGATTCAACTAATCAGCTAATTAACAGTCCTTCAGGAGTTGAAGTGGCTGTTAGAGCAGGGAAAACACTAAAATGTTCAGGTTTGGGGGTCATTACTCCACGATCAGGGTTGGGAACATGTGGTTTAGACAAACAAGAACAGCTACATGTATGAAATCGATTTTAACTGAAGATCTTGCAGTTAGAAACGACAATCTTGGTTATGTCAGTTTTTTTTCCCATCTATAAAATGTTCTCTTAAAGCATAGTAATAAAATATTAGTGTTCATTTCACTTGTAGTGTCCACTCACACCGCGTTTCACTGCATCAGCTGAAACTTATGCATTCTACGATGCTTTTCAGCTCACCACAGATGTAAAGAGTGGTTATCTGAGTTACTGTAGCTTTCCTGTCAGCTTCTCTGACCTCTTTCACCAGCAAGGCGTTTCCCCCCACAGAACTGCCGCTCGCCAGATGTTTTTAGTTTTTCGCACCATGCTGTGTAAACTCTAGAGACTGTTGTGTGTGAAATTTCCAAGAGATCAGCAGTTTTTGAAATACTCAAACCAGCCCATCTGGCAGCAACAGGTCACAGCAGTAGTCACTGTGATCACATTTTTCCTCATTGTTTGATGTGAACATTAACTGAAGCTGAGGTGTATCTGCATGATTGTATGCATTGCGCTCCTGCCACATGATTGGCTGACTGGATAACTGCATGAAGGTGCACAGGTGTTCCTAATAAACTGAACTACATTCATGAAATTCATTCTGATCCCTGAACCTTTTTTAACCAAAATGTTGATTATTGTTGGAATTATGTTACATTTTACTGAATTTTTATTTTTTTTTTTTACCAAAATGTAAAAACAATAATCAACATTTTGGTTAAAAAAAAATCAGTAAAATGTAACATAATTCCAACAATAATCAAGTTAAATTTTACTGAATTTTTTTTAACCAAAATGTTTTTTATTGTTGGAATTATGTTAGATTTTACTGATTTTTTAAAATTTTTTATTATTATTTTTTTTTATTATAGTGCATAGGATTTATTTTCCCCCAACCCTTTCTATAAAAGTCTTTCTCTTGGGAGTGTCTTCACAGAAAACTAAAAATGTTTAATTAAAAAAAAATCAAAAGACTAGATTTTTGGCTTTAATAAACACGTGCATATTTATAAGTTTATGCATATTTGCATATTTAATTAGACAGAGCCTCATTTGCATAAATAAATGACATATTTGTAAAATGTAAAAACTCCAATACAAAAATATTTGTAAGAACATCAAAAATCTGCTGACTGCTTGTGATTATTGTTTTTAATGATCTAGCTTTAAAAAAAAAAAAAAATAAATATTGCTGTATTTGTGTTAGATTTGTTGTACATTTTTGTTCCCCAATGTATAAACAACCTTATAATTATGAATTCTCATAAAATATCTCTGTATAGACTGTAAACTGTAGCATTTTCAGTGTAATGATCATTTCTAGCCGTTTATTTGAGTTTATTTTTGCGCCATTTAAAAAGACCGAGTTGCAAAACCACAGTAATTGATCACACTGTCACTGATTCACCTCGAGCGTGATTGGTCCACACCGGATGACGGGGCGTGGCAAAGGCTAGCGTGATCTGATTGGTTGCGTCGGGACGCCACGCCCCCAGCGCGAGACTGTGTACCGCAGGAGAAATGGAGACGAGGTTTGATGAATCTGTGAATCTCCGCGCTATTTAGGATTCGGGGACGGGTTTTTTTTTTTTCTTCTCCCCTCTTCCAGTCTCGTGTTGCTTGCAACGGCGACGGTTTTAGACGAGTGACGCAATCGATTTGGCCCGCAATCATAGGATCGCACGCGAGCTCGTTATCGCAAGCATCGATCAGGATGGCCGGCGCGACGGCGAGCGGAGGCTGTCAGAAAATCCGCGGCGCTCAGCTGCACGAGCTGCTCGAGTCCAAACACAACGTGCTGTTCGACTGCGACGGTGTGATCTGGAACGGAGAGACGGCGGTGGCGGGAGCTCCCGAGGTGGTGCGCGCGCTCAAGCAGCGCGGCAAGCGAGTGTTCTTCGTCACCAATAACTGCACCAGGCCGAGGCAGAGCTACGTGCAGAAGTTCGCGCGGCTCGGGTTCGCCGAGGTGGACGAGCAGGAGATCTTCAGCTCGGCGTACTGCTCGGCCGCGTACCTGCGCGACGTGGCCACCTTCAGCGGCAAGGTGTTTGCCATCGGCTGCCCCGGCGTGCACGCCGAGCTGCGGGATGCCGGTATCTCCGTGGTCGAGGAGGAAGAGGATGGACCGGACGTCAACATTTCCAACTGCGCACTGGACCCGGACGTGCGCGCCGTCCTCGTGGGCTACGACGAGAAATTCAGCTTCATGAAGTTGGCCAAAGCCTGCTGCTACTTGCGGGACTCCGAGTGTCTGTTTCTGGCCACTGATCCTGACCCTTGGCATCCTCTGCGAGGAGGAAGAATCACACCAGGTAACAAGTGTTCAACATGGCACCTGTTACAAAACCAGAAATAAAAGGGGGCGGGGTTGAACAGGGGCAGAGGTCGCTCAGTGGTTAAGACGTTGGACTTAGGACCGGTAGGTCGTGAGTTCAAATCCCAGCTCCGCCAAGCTGCCGCCACTGTGGGCCCCTGAGCAAAGCCCCCAACCCTCAACTGCCCAAATGTATAAATAACATGAATGTCAGTCACTCTGTATGAGGGCAGCTGTGAATGTAAATATGTTTTTGGAAACAAGACAATAAGACACTAAATGTTGGTGCAGTAAGTCTCAGGGAAAACACTTCAGCTGAAATAGTGATTCAGAGTCGTTCAAAATGATCATGAATCAGAGAATCGATTCGCAAGCACCAACGAACACAAAAAATTATAATCCAAACACTTCCCCCGTGTTAATAAACCACATATATACTCATTTGTCTCCTAATCTTTCCATCATTTGGTGTGTTATATATATAAATATATATATATAAAAAATATGCTATTTCTTGTCTGTCATTGGTTTTCGGTTTTAGTTAGGTCAGTTAGCTTCCATTCTTACAACTGGTACCCGAGTGTCTGGTACTTTTAATCAGGAAATGTGGCCAAAAACCTTTACATAAATAAGATTTGACCATCTACAGGCTTTTCCACGTAGTAAACATGCAAAGATATCTTGTATATTGCTTTAAATATTTCTTAAACACTTTCTTTAAAGGTTTCCCAAAAATTTGTTTTCCTGTCAGAAAGTGGTGTGTGAAAGCTCGGGGCCGCAGGGGCTGCAGGTCCGCAGGAGGCGCAGGTCCGCAGGAGGTGCAGATAGCCACAGATTCCAGATTATAAAGCTTGTTGTCAGCTAAGAGTACGAATAAGAAAAGTCAGGTTACATCATGTGGGCCTTGGGTAAATGGATTGAATCAAACTTTAGGGTAGTTCACTAACGTAAATACCAACAGCACCAAAATGTGACATGGTGAACTAAATGCACTTAATCAGAAAGCTCAGAGCTGGATGTAATATGTATGAAGAAAAAACTTGTATGAAGAAAAAAAAAAAAGAACCAACACGACCCAATCCTCACTGTCGAAACAATTAAAAAAAAATTTTTTCTTACTAGTACCAAAACCTGGAAAATATATAGCTCATGATAAAAAATAATTGTTCAAGCCATGGTCTCAGCACATGTGTAATATCTGGCTGAGAAAACCTGTTTGGAAGACTGGGATGTGATGACCTGCTTGTTTGTGTTTACATGGGCCTCTTTTTGTAGACATGCCCCCAATGCCCCTTCACTCCACCCCCATGTCAGTCTGTTGAGAAAGAAAAAAACATGGTGGTAAACACCCAGCGCAGCCAGATACGTTTACAGTGCTGTGTACATGCAGTGCTTTGAAAAACGGCAACGACAAGCAACGCAGTAAGAAGGTGTGAGGGTTTAATAACGAAGATGTTCACTGGTTGGTTCTCGGTTTGCATCAGTCCAGTATTTATCCCATCTCTGTCATGCATACACTGACGGTACACGTCCGCCTGAGGCTTCTGTTGTGTCATGCGTCCTATTTTTGTGATAAATATGACTGAAACAGTGTCATGGTACACAAACGTACACTTATTAGTATCCGAACTGACAATAAAATTTACTAATCTACTAAAGAACTGTGCCTTCAAATAAATGTAACCTTTCAAATGTAAAAACAGTTGGCACGGTAATATTATAACGAGAATGATGAATGCAATTGAATTAAAAGCAGAATCTGCAAAAAGGTAGAATATACAGTTTTATAAAAAGGTAGAATATACAGTTTTATACAACAGTGCTGTTGAATTCTTGATTCTGATTGGTCAGAATGTGTAGATTAATTTCTTTTTGTATCTAACACCAGCTCTGATAGGAGTACTGGCTACAAAGCAAATCACAGGTTAATAGTAATGTGCTCGTGTATGTTGGAAACTGTAAAACGTGTGTAATTGTTGATATGGTGAAGGAGGTTTTTTTGGAAGGAGTCTCCAGTGTCAGAGCTTGTAACAGTCGCAGGTGAAGCTTTAAAGTTTCCTACACGGAAAGTCTTCAGGACGGAGGGCTTTGTGGTCTCTGCGTAACATGCCAAGCTGCACTTTTCTTAATAATTTCAAAAGAAACTGCTTATCGCTGCTGTAACATAAGTGATAACAGGAACTAATTAGTTTTGTGGACATTTAATATGAAATGGGAGTATAAATGGAAGAAGTGTGATGTGCCATTTGTTAAGTAGCTGTGATATAAAATGAATGAAACACTTTGGGATGTGCTGTTATAGGAAAATACTTCCTTACTTTACAGCTCTACTGCTTGCTATAGTTATAAGTTAAAACATATACTTTGAATGGTTTATCCCTGTTTGGCCCTACTATGAAAAATGTATACGTATTATTTTTGATTACTTTTTTAAAACATTATTATACCTTTCTCATATTCGACATTTATCTGTGTCGATTAGTCAGTAGCGTACAAATCATCTGCCTTGTGCGTTGTGTTGTTTATCTATGTAGTGGACCATCGAGCTGAACTGAATGCCGTATGGCATCATGGCTAGTTCATGAATAAAAGAGCAAAGCCCAAAGCAAACAAACGAAAAGATTATTTAGCCAAATGATCATAATTCACGTTTGTAAACGTACACTATGTATTCTCTTGTGCAGCGTGTATTGACTAACTCCCTGTTGTGCACTAGCACAGTCTGCAGTTGTGGTGTGTTTTGTTGACATGGCGAGTGCTCTGTAGTGATGAATACCGGCTTTTTTTTTTGTGAAACGCATTTAGGGCACCCAACAACGACAAAAGACAAAAGGGCTGTTTGAATAAAATGGCATCCCACGGTTCAGGCACATTTAATGAAACACTGACTCTGTTTCCGCATCTACAGGTTCTGGGAGTCTCACTGCAGCTCTGGAAACAGCCAGCAGCAGGAAGGCCACGGTGATCGGCAAACCGAGTCGTTTCATGTTCGAGTGCATCGCCAGCCAGTTCGATTTAGACCCCGAGAGCTCTTTGATGGTGGGCGACCGCTTAGAGACTGATATCGTCTTCGGCGTTAACTGTGGCCTTTCTACGGTGCTCACGCTAACGGGCGTCTCGACCTTCGAGCAAGCACAGGTATACAAGGACAGTGACGAGCCGAAGAAGAAGGACTTTGTGCCCGATTATGTGGTGGAGAGCATCGCAGATTTCTTGGAGGCTTTGGAGGAGTAGGAAAGAAAGAACAGGGCAGTTATGAACTCCGTAATAAACCCCAGAGCGCACAGCTTTTGCCTGGTACCCAACACAGTCATTACTGTATGTCCAATGCTGTTGTTCATGGTGTACAACTATACGTACGTGTCATCATAGTTGTCAGTTTATCATCACTAGATGACATGGACGTACCATGTGTTTTAAAGTATTTGAATGAATAATGAGCACATTTTGAAAGGAGTAGCTTAGCCAAACAAAAAGGTGCAGTTTTTTTTTCCTTACCCCAGATGTTGTCGATCATGTTTGATGTATGGAGTTTGCTTCTTTATTTGGAGGAAAATGTAACTAACGAGTGAGAGAAGCTTAGCCAGGGCCTGATTCTTCACTATATATCACTATTATATTATATCATATCACTGTTTATACATAGATATTTTCAGTGCTGTGCATATTCGAGTAAAGGAAGTGGTTATGTAGAAGTGACGGATGTCAGATTGGCAGTTCCAAACCAGTCACGGTTGAAACCTCACCAGGTGACTACACAGCTTCACAAACTCCAGTTAATTACATCCAAATGAAATCATATCAAATTATATATCAATATAAATAGCACAAAGTTGTTCCAGACCTCCCAACCCCTGAAGGTTAATAATGAGAATAATGAAACCAAGACCAGAACCTGGATCATCTTTGGATCATTGATAAAACGAGTCCTTTTACAAATCGCTCGTCCTTGTAGGAACTGAAATTTGAAAATGTTCCGAGGTCAACCTTTGAGTGTATCCCTCGTAGATACAGTTAACCGATGTTAACTAAATACTTGTCTGATGTAAGCTAACATACTTTGATAGATTAACAAACTGAAAACATTTGATGGAAAGCTAGGGTGCAAGGGCCTCGCGCAGGAAAAAGGAGTTCGAGGCAAAAGCACGGGCCAGAAGACTCCTAACCTGAGATTGTTGAAAAGGGGCGGGGCTTCCAGTGAGTGACAGTTCAAAACACGCATTGTCTGTCATTTCAGATTCATAGGCTGATGTTCTGTTTTTATTGGGCAGGAAAACGAGGGAAAAAGACGTCGAAGGTCGGTGGATCTGTTTTTTGTTTCTGGAACAAGGAGAATAGAAAGTGCTTCAAAATGTGAGACATGATCTGGCAACCTTTGTTAGATATGCACACTTTTAATTACAATGCGGCGGAGTGAAGTGGTGAATGTCGCACTGCAATGAAAAGGCAAAGAAAACGCTACAGTGTCTGTGGACTGTGAAAGATATCGAGAGTAAATTTCGGAATTGGGCTACTGTATTGCACTTTGGTTAAGCTTTTACGTTAGTAGGAAACCAACTACCTCATGTGCCTTTTCCTGCTGTATGTTTTCACCACGCAGATCGTCCATCGTTGCTTATTTAACGTTGTCCAACTTCTCGGGATACTGAGCCAAACGACGGCTCGGTACTGATGCGTGTGGATACAGTTTAGAATCAGACGTCCATATTTAAAAAAAAATGAAATATACAAATCAACTGGGAAGGTACCTGAGCCAAACTCTGTGATCAGGAAGAAGGTGATTCTGCTACTGTTTTTCCTACATGATGTCCTTTAGTAGGAATTTTTTCTAGACCTGCAGGTTGATCGGCTTCATCAGGGTATGTGGAAAAGTTTTAGTTTCATCTAAACTATTCCTTTCAGTGTTTGGGCACATTGTGCAGGCGGTCATGGAAAACCACATCATCCCAGCTGTAATTGTTAGAAAGCATGGCAAACGTAATCGCGTTAATGAAGAAACTCTTTGGGGCGATAAAGAAACGGCATGCCATACACGCCCGAAGCAAACGAAATATATCTTTGTTAATAACTTATTAATTGTGTACCTTATAACTGGAATTTCCCTGTGAAACCTCCGGCCCAGTAGCAGACGCTCTTC